GGGTGGGGGGGTGGGAGTGCTCTCCTAAGAGTCAGAGCTGAAATCTAAGGGTTAAGGAAGGAATTAGCGAGGAGGGGTGGATGGATGGGAGGACAGCGTTCCAGGAGGGAACAGCACGTGCAAAAGGCCTGAGGTGGGCGGGCCCTTGGGTAGTCAGAAGGCTGGGACGCAGGGTGCAAGGTAAGGGTCCCTGGGAGGTTGGCGGGGGGCCTGAGGACCTGCTGAAGAGTTTGGGCTTTTCTCTAAGGGCGCTGGGGGGTTCTGGAAGGTGTTACGGGAGGGGTGACATGCCAGATCTGTTTTGAGAAGCTCCCTCTGGCCGCCACGGGGAGAAGGAAGGGAGGCAGTGAGACTGGGGGCTGGGAGGCCAGGGAGGAGGCCGGGGCAGATGTCTAGGTGAGGTCCCATCAGGATGGTGGCAGGGAACGGGGAGGAAAGGGGTGGAATCTGACGCTATGTGGAAGGTGAATCGGAACGTGGAGGTGGGTGGGGTTGACGGGAAAGGGAGAGCGAAGCCCGAGGCCTCCAGGGTCTCTGGTTTGTGGGGAGTGTGGGGGATGAACAGGTTTGGAGAAAGGGGTCAGGAGTTTGGCGGTGGGTATGTCACACTGGGGCCACCAAGTGGAGTGTCACAGGCAGGTGGATCTGAGTGTGGCACTTGGGGCAGAGGTCTGGCCTGGAGGGATGTGGGACAGATCAGTTATAGACGGAGTCTATAGTCAAGTCAAGGGCGAGGTTGAGATCACCTCGTTCTACAAGCTGAGGAGGGCCTTGATCAAGGCACCTGGTCGGGCATCCTGGGAAGAAACGGGGAGCCACAGGCACCCCGAAAGCTCTCGACTAGGGTGGATGGTGGCTGAGAGGTACAAGTATACAAGTACACACGACTTGAACATCAAGAACTAGAGACAAAGACAGGTTTATGTCAGCACACATAGACCACCAACTGTATACCGCAGAGCGATTTTTAGAAAGGACAAATGCTGGAACATTCACGGGTCATCACACAGGTCCCCAGAGCAGGCAAATAACGGAGGGTGAGTGACTAACGTGTGGAAGGGTCAGGGAGGAATCTCTGGAGGAAGACTAGCTGTGGAAGACAGGCGAGGATCTGACGGGAGCTGAGGTTGGGCGGGGTGTGGGTAGCAGGAAGTCCAGGCAGGGGGAACCGTGCAAGCAAGCAGCAGCCAAGAGCTTTCAGAGGATGCCAGTGACTTTGATGCTGGGGTCTGGCTGGAGGGACGGGAGAAGGGCAGTCTGGATCCAGAGGGAGGGGTCCCTGCACAGAGGCCAGCCTGTCCGCAGTGGGCAGCGTGTGAGTGACCGCCCAGCGAGAAGCCCGTGCAGGCAGGCGGCCTCTCGGGCGCCAGCTCCTGCTGCCTGGCAGCGGCGGCCTGGAGAGGCGTGCAGGGCCCGCGCTCTGTGGGAGAGGGGCGTGACTGACGAGTGACGGCCACAGGAGGCGAGAGGCGTCTTGAACGCTGACTGGTTCCCACTCCTGCCGTAGGGAGCGCAAAGGCAGGTCTTCCTTCTGGAATAACTTTGGGGGATGAAGACGATGGGTTGGAAGGGGCAAGGCTGAGGGCAGGAAGGCCATGTAGGGCGTGGTGTCCCTGAGTCTGGGCGAGCTGGAATTAGGGCCTGTGCCGAAATGGCAGCTGGGGGGACAGGAAGGGCACGGCTGCCAGTGGACCCAGCGGGCCTAGGAGGAGTAAGGGGTGAAGAGGGGCAGGGCGAGGGCAGTGAGCCCGGGGAATGAGGCTTCCTTGGGAGGCCGCAACCTCCCCCTGAGGCCCCGCTCTGAATGAACGTGCAGACAGAGCCTGGCTCTCCAGGGCCGACCCCACACTAGTGTGGTACGTGTGCATGAAAGGGAAGGGCAGGAGCGGCCACCTCTGGTGTCCCCCAGGCCTGCCGGGGCCCTCTGGCCATAGAGTCTGTGGGTGGTGCTTGGATGATGGCCTGAAGCAAAGCTGGAAGCAGGCGTAGCGGCCTCACTGGGAAACAGACCCCTCTGCCGCAGGGGAGGAAAGGTGGCGAGTGGCGGGCCAGGGAGGAGGGCGGCCGGCACAGGCAGGGCTCACTGCCACGGTCGGAATGGAGGCGGAAGGTGCCAGCAGCCCCACGTGGCCAGAGAACAGCCTCCTCCTGCTTGAGGGCCACTGGCCGCGGCCTCTGGGGATGGAGCCGCTGTCCCCACCTGGCCAGGGGCAGGAGCCACCTTCGCTTCTCTCAGGTTTGGTTTTTTACAAGATTGATTTATTAACTATGATACATGTATCACATAAGGCCTTTTCAGTTTTTTACACCATTCCCATTGAGACAAGTACAATACTTTGTAGCAAATACATGATTTTAAAAAACAAAACCAAACAAAAACACCTCAGTCAGAGATGCCTCAGCCTCGCTGGTGGCTGTCCATGCACTAATCAGGTTCAAGCCTTGGAAACCCGCGACGTGTTCAAACAAAAAGTCTGGAAATTAAGCAAACATTCCTAACACCAGCTAGAGGATGTCCTGGTTAAAGCCTCTAAAATACAAAGAAATAATTGTTATACTTTCTTTACATACAGTTCTCCACTTTTGCTGCGAAACAGAATTGTGGCACACGGCCAGACTACTAACACATTTCAATACCATTAATATGTTTTTGTCTTTCTCAGGAAACTCAAAATATTTGTTAATTCAACATATATAAAGATCATTTAACATGTGAAAATACAAGTACCAGAAAAATAAGCTGGCAGCAGCACTATTCCAAATTTTCAAACAAGTTTTATTCCCATACAATGCAGAGACATTTTTCTTAATGTACACAGGGAACATGATTCTCTCTTATGCAAACAATAACTTAGGCCCTGTCTCGACGACGTGGAAGTGTAACATCAGCCTGTCAGGGCCACCCGGAGGGAGGGCTGCTGGGCCCGCGGCCGTGCCCTCTGACCCTCGGAGCCCGCGGCAGGCGGACGGCTGAGGCGCCCAGGGCAGGAGGTAAGAGGGAGCCTCGCGTCCAGGACAGCAACGCAGGCAGAGCCCTGCCCGCGCGGAGGCCAGGGCCCTGGGAGCCGAGAGCGGCCTTGGCCTCACCCCACCCCTCCGGCCCGACCACCGGCACAGTCCTGGATGTGAGGCTTCCGGCACACGTGACTCAGTCTCTCCTTTCACCGAAGCGCAAGAGTGGCTTGAACCTGCCAAGCGATAGGAGAGGGCAACTCCTCCATCCACCGTCTGTGGGCGCCGTGACTGTCCCCCACAGGTGCGGGGCCCGTTCCCTCGCCCCGTGGCACACCGTGCCCCCAGGGCCCCGCCCAAGTCCTGCAGCTGCCTCCTCTCGGAAGCGCGTGGCTGGCAGAGCCCTTGGCGGCAGGGAGCCCAGGTTTCCTCGCCACTGTCCGCCATTTCTCAAGCACACACCCCCAAAGCTGTGCAGTTCCCCTCCCAGGAGAGGGTGGTGAGGGCGCAGGTGGAGGTGACTTTTGATTGCAAATGCTCAGCTTGTTTTCAAGTTTCAGGGCTGAGGTTGGAAGCCCCGTGGCCGATGGGCAGGCGTACTCCCAGACCTCCCCCAGACCAGGAGCCAGGGGCGGGATGGGGGACCCTTCTAGCCGCTCCTATGATGTCACCCCGTGTCCACCCTGGCAAAGACAAACATATCCTGCTGGAAGACTCTCCCCAGCAGCAGGCCGTCCGCCTGAAGCAGGACCGAGGCGGCGGTGGGGGTGAACGGAGACGAGTACTGAGGCCTCTCAGCGGTCCTGCTCACCATATCAGGGGACAGGAGGAGTGACCTGATGAAGGCAGGGAGAAGTGTGCCGTGTGGGACACCCAACACGTAAGAGCCCAGGACACAGGGCCAGGCCACAAGCCAGGCCTCCTCACGGCGGGCCGCCTCCCCCTGTGAAGCCATCAGTGTCCCAGACCCAGAGCCAGCCCTCTGCTTAGTCAAGGGTGGTCCACCCCCACCGAATAAGGTATCTACACTCTGTGGATGTCAAAGAACACCGCACAGGGAGAGGTGCGGGCACCCCATTCTGCTGTGGGGGCGTGGAGCAAGTCCTAGACCCCCACTGACCTGTTCTGGCCAAGGCCCGTGAATGGCCACCATTCCCTCCGTTCCAAGAGCTGTGGCACAGCTCACGTGAGAATCACTCGTGAAAGCACTTTCCAGAGCTCAATGCCCAGGATGAACGCGAGGGGCGGACAGCATTCCGTTTAACGCAGCCTGTCCCAACGCCCGCCCAGCCTCTCCCTTGTGGGCCCCATCCCAGTGCCCATTTGGTCCGAATGCGACCCCCCGACTGGGAGCTGAAGCCCAGTGCCCAGTACTGCCACTAGCGGCAATGCCAACTCAGGATGACCGAGAACTGTCCTCTAGTCTGAGCCAGCCCAGAGAGGCAGAAAGGCAGAAGCTGCAGAGTTAGCAAAGGAAGAAAACAGGAACACCGAAACCTCCTGCCCACCGTGGCTCTGTGGGGCTCGAGCCCCAGGCCCCGCCCACACACCCCGAGAGCTCTGGCAGGGCTGCGGCTGGCGTGAGGGGCTCCTGTGGCTGCCCACACCGGCTGGCAGGGGGCACTACCCCGGGGAAGCCTGGTGTCTGCTACTTCTGAATGGGCACAGGTACCAAGCGCAGGTGCCCCCCTCACTGTACCCCCTCCCCTTCCAACACACCCAAGAAAATCACCCAGCACTTACTCGTCTCTACGCTGTCTCAGGGGTGGGGGTGGCTTGGGCGGGCAGGAGAGTTGGGGTCCTGTGAAGTTCCTGGTGCAGAGCCCAGGTGGCAAGTGGCAGCGGTGTGGGGGGTGTGGCCCAGGAGGCCAGCACAAAGGAGCGGGCAGAGGAGACGGCAGTGGGAGGGAACCAGGCTACTTCACACAAGGGACAGTGGCCCCAGGCCACCACGTGGCTTCCCTTCCACCCCCACCCAATATCTTGAAGGGCTGACTGGGAGCAGGTGACCGTGACCTAGAAAAAGGCAGAGAGGAATTCAATGGAGGACTCTCCTCACTGCCCGGGATTCAGAGCTGGGGGAGTTGGGGAGCCAGAGAACCAGGGGTCTGCAGCCTCAGCCAAAACAAAACACGAGCCCCACCTTCCAGCCCACCCTGACTGCAGGCATCAGGCGCCAGCCGCCAGAAGAGAGGACTCCCTCATGCAACAGTTACACAGAACGTTCATGTACCTTGGGTCTGTTTCTGATTTGCGTCCTTACGGAAGTGGTAAACCGTGCGGGGAGGACTCAGTTTTCCCGAGCACCTGATTTTGCCGTACAAGAACCAGGAACAGAAGACACCAGCTTACTCAGGAAGAGTCAGGAGCGAGGGGCCAGCCCGCCTCTGGCAGCCAGCAGGAAAGGCTTGGGGCGGGGGCCGCAGAAAATGGTTCCCGGGCATCCCTTGCGTTGTCGGGCCCCTGGCTGAAGTGACCCGGGCCTCCCCAGACAGACCACAGGGGCTGCTTCTTAAAGTGCAAAGAGGCCTGAGCGGCGTGCGGGGCCCCTACCGCGCCCCATGCCGGGTACCTTAGCGTTCGGCTTCTCCCCGCGGAGGCTGGGCCAGCCACGGGGCGGGCAGCCAGCATCCGGAGCAGCCTCAGCAGGGCTGCTGTTTGCAGGCAGAGGGGCGAGAGGAGGGTTCTCCCGGCGCCAGTGCAAAGGCCAGGAGCTGTGGGGAGGCCACCGCCCAGGAAGGGTTGGGGGAGGCCGCGTGACAGGCAGGCACGTGCCCTCCTCATGACTCTGACGGCCTCTGTGCCTTTAGCTCCTGCACGGGCACCAGCAGACCACCACGCTTCCAACTCCCCCTAGCTCGCCCACTTCCCAACCACCCCTGCTGGCGGCACTCTACAGCCTGGGATGAAAACAAGTCCACATCAACACCAAACATACTGACCCCACGGCACCCCCAGCTGTCCCCTCACAGGCCAACCCCCCACGCGCACACACACACACGCAGTAGTGTTTCCACAGCACTGTAGTGTGGTCCAATATGACCAGGGTCCAGGCGGTCTCCCCAGCTCTTCCCACCAAGGGCTCAAATCACCTTCTTGGGGAAAGGGGGATCTGGGGACAGGATGTGAGTGGGACCCCACAGGCTCTCACGGCACCCACCCCCAGGCATCCCTGTTTTGCTGCCACAAAGACAAGGGCCACCTTCCACCTGTGCCTCTCAGAGAGGTGGCAGGAGAGCTGAGTCATGAGGTCTGTAGTGTCTTCCTTTTTCTTTTTTAAATTATTAGAGTTTTCCCGTTTGTCTTCCAGTGTTCCTTTTTTGAGGGCAATGTCGCCCGGACCCCGTGGGGGAGTAGGGGGGTTGAAGGGGGTGCTGCACATCCTCTCTCGGTCCAGGCACAATGCTACCCTCCCTCTGTACCTTGGGGCGGCAGAGCCGTGGCCGACGTGTTCCCAAGGAGGTTACCAGACAGGCTGCACCCCGCAACTGGCGGTGGGGGTGCAGATACAGAAGATGGGGAGAGACAGACAGACGGACGGGCAGTGTTCTCCTCAGGGGTGGCCAGCCCTGCCCTGGGGTGGCCGGCACCGTGGCACCTCCTCCTGCCCCGGCAGAGGCCAGGGCTCTGTCCAAGCAGCGGGCGGACGCCCCGAGGCTGGTGTGCGCAGATGGGGGTGGGTGGGGGAGGGCCACTGGGGCCGCTGCCTGGCCAGTTCAGTCCTCAGGGGGTCCCAGGTGAAGGGCAGGGCCTCCTGGCCGCTGCCTGCAGCCAGCCCCAGGTCTGCAGCAGCCGGCTCCGGGCACCTGACAGCCCAGCCTATGGTGGGCCACTGGCTGGTGCCACCGCTGAGGTCTTGAGGAGGCGACAGGGGAGAAGGGACGTTCCCCAGCCCTGCCTCAGGGGACCTGGTTTTGTTCACGGCCAAATGCCACCCCCTCAGAGAGAAGACCGAGTCTCCTTTTGCCCCAGGCCTTGGTGGCTCACAGCGTGTGTTCGGCTTGAAGCTGGGAGGGGAGCAGTGGCTGCATCGGGGACTGGGGGGTGGGTGGAGGTGACTGAGGGGGCGACGGCTGACTGGCGACAGGCGTGGAGGTGAGGAAGGGGCCGGTGGAGGCGCCGGCAGAGGGGGAGCCAGGCGCGGCGCCAGGGGGCTCGGAGATGGGCCGGTTGTAGAAGAAGAAGGGGCACTGCTGGATGAAGAGCTCGATGATGGTCTGGTAGGTGCGCGTGGCCGTGAGCGCATCCATGGTGCTGAAGTCGGGCCGCATCAGGGTGGGCCAGAAGCAGATGGAGAGGTTCTCACTGGTCATGAGGTTCACCTTGTTGTTGTGGCTGACTCTGTGGGCGACAGCAAACGCACGGTCAGAGCTCCGTGGGCCAGCAGGCCCTGGCCGAGGCTCTATGCCAGCCGGGCCCCTGTACCGCCCCTGGTGTGCGCACAGTCTCTGTCACCCCGGCTGCTCTCCCCGCCTGCCGACCCAGAGCCTGAAAACAGAAGGCCCAAGCACAGCTCTCCGTGGCCCTGGCCTGCCAGGCGAGGCCTGAGCCCCCTGGGGCCCCGTCCTCTGCTCCAGTGCCTCCACGTGGCAGCCCCTGAGGAGTGGCTCTCAGGCCCGGGCTCACGGGAGGCCTTCCCACAAGCCCTGTGGGGGGACGGCCTGCCTGGAGGACTCTCACCCAGTCCACCAAAGCGGGTGACAATGCTCTGGCTGTGCAGAGAGAGGGCTGTCCTCTCCCCAGTCAGAGCTCCTTAAAACACCACTTTGCCAAGAGAGGAATAAGTTTGCCTGAAAACAAACCTCTGGGAACACTGGAGAGGACTCTGGGCATGACTGGGGCCACATGGGCCTCTCTGGGACGGAAGTGGGACGGAAGCCTGAGGAAACACCTCGGTGAGTCAGACGTGCCCCACCGAGGAGGCAGACAGCAGCCCTGGCAGGCTGGGGACGCCCGTGGCCAGGCTGAGCTCGCTGCCTCATTCCACTGCCCCCTGGCCTGACAGGCGATGTCAAGAAGAGGAGATCCAAGAGCAAGGCCCCCCACGTACTTGTTGAGGTGCGAGATGACATATTTGAAGACCTCGTGGTTTTCCTTTGGGAATTTCTTGAGTACCTCCTTCAGGGCGTGTAACTTCTGCTCCCGGTCGTTGATTTCTGAGAAAAGAGAAAACCAAAGATGTTCATGGCCGTGGCTGGTGGGTGTCCTGGGGCTCAACGGAGATCCGGGTGCCAGGCAGTTGGTGAAAGCAGTGGGCTGGCGGCCCCGAGGGTGCGCTCTGTGTTGGACCTTCTTGGAGGGCAGCCCTGGGCTCTTGGACAAGGCCAACCTCATTCCTTCCCGCAAAGCCTGTACCCAAGGCTGGCACACCTGGCAGTGGCACGGGCCCAGGGGCCAGGCCTACCTCTGGGTCCCAGGCCCCTGCTGAAGGGGAGCACTGTGCGCCTGGGGCTTCCTGGCCCCACCACCCGAGCCTCCATGGTCCAGGGGGACTCCACCATAAAGAACACCCTTCTCTGCTCATCCCGTGGCCCCTGGAGACACGCATCCCAATGCAGAAAGCGGCCTGCTTCCTGACCAGACGGGTGCACGCTGCCACCCAGCCACGCCAACAGACTGTCTAGGGAGGGAGGCTGTCACAAGACCAGGGCTCTGTCCTTTTCCTAGAGTCCCAGGGACCCTCCCCACATCTCCCTACTGGAAGGGCTGACGGAAACAGTGGGGGAATTCTTACGCAGTTCATCAAAGGGACCACGCACCCCTGCCCCCACTTCGCCCACCATGGCATCCTAATGCACTGGGAGAGGGAGAACAAGCTCACCCCGACGAAATGCTTACCCCAGGCCAGGCCTGGTTCCGGTGGTCCTCACCAACTATGAGGCAGGGGCTGTCACTGCCCCACCTCAAGAATAAGGACTCTGAAGCCCAGAGAGGTTGCAGAGCTGGGAATCAAACCCTGCTCAACTGGCTGCGGGGTCTGAGCAGGGACCATTGTGCTCTCTGGGGTCCTGGCTCCCCTTCCCTAAGTAGGCCTGGCCCACCTTGGCTGGGAGAGCGGGACTGGGCCAGTGAGGCAGAAATGGTTCAGAGCCCACCTGGAATAAGCTGGCCAAGAGAGATTTCTCCAAGCGTGGAAAGTTTCCCTATGGCTACTTGTTGGAACTGAAGGCGATCTCTAGGAGTCCAGGGCTCAGAAAAACCACAGGAGGTCCCATGATGAGACGGCAGCTATGCCACAACTGACGGCCATAGGGGTGGGTGGACAGGGGCTCGTTAAGAAATACAATGGTTCGGGGCTGGCCCAGTAGCATAGTGGTTAAGTTCGCACACTCTGCTTTGGTGGCCCAGGGTTTGTGGGTTTAGATCCTGGGCATGGACCTACACACCCCTCATCAAACTATGCTGTGGCGGTGTCCCACATACAAAATAGAGGAAGATTTGCTTTCTCAAGCAAAAAGAGGAAGATTGGCAATAGATGTCAGCTCAGGGCCAGTCCTCCTCACAAAAAAAACAAACAAAAAATACGATGGTTCCTAACTGGTTTCAGGGCACGGGCTCCTGGGGATGGAAGAAAGCTCTGGGCCCCCTCCCCACAGACATGCCGTCCGTGTACAAGTCTGCCAAAGATTCCTGGAGGGTCACAGACTCCCCCAACCCACGTCTTCTAGGAAGCCTGAGGCGTCCAAGTTATGAACCTCTGCAGTAGGCGACGTGCCCAGAGGGTCAGTCTGGGGATGTGCGAGGGGAGCCTGCTCGAGCTAGGCTTGGAAGCACAGACAGAGCGCACATGGCAGGGGAGGGGGGGAGGTATGGCAGGGGAGGTACGGCGAGGGCTCGGCTAGGGGCAAGGGCTGTGTGGTGGTCCAGAGCCAAAACCCGATCCACATGGTCTTGGGTACGAATCCTGTCTGTGACACCAGCCAGCTGTGTCAGCGACCTTGGGGAAGTGACACATCTGAGTGTCAGTCTCCGTGTCTGTAAAGGGGCTGCTGACAGCGCCTCCCTCACGCGGTGCCGCCACACTGGGAAATGAGGCGCTCACAGCAGACACAGTACGCGCCTGGGAGCTAGTCTGACTTGCAGGGACCCAGCGGAAGGGGAGGCTGCAAGGATGGGCAGGGACAGAGCTGTCGAGAGCTTTCACTAGAAGGTTAATCAGCATGAAACCGGCGATTTTTTTGACTTGATAAAACCAGTGTTTTGGTAACATCTGTCTGTCAGAAAATGACTAAAAAAACCACAGGAACGAATTATGTGGGGCCATTATCAGCTTCATTTCTCTGAATCCGAGATTTATTTTAAGGGTTTAACCTCAAGGGCATACTTTCTCTCCGGCCTTCAGTTTCAAAACCTTTTACTGTTAAGTTTCAATACAAAGTTGACCTAAAGAAAGTAACCCGCTCTCTGGGCGGAGGAGCGACTGTACTTCTGAGAAGCATGTGCACAGTTCAGAGGCTCACTTAATAAACCAACCGTGCCCCTTCCAGATGCGAGCGCACACAGATCTCTCCTAGGTGCCCGCACGATGCAAACACAGCTGTGTTTGTTTTAAATTAGGCTCCCGAGCGGCAGCACCTTCACACAGGAGCCGCCCTCGGCTCAGCCGTCCTCCTGGCGGAGGCAGGAAACGGGGCTGGCAAGCCCACTGTCGCCCGGGATGCCCTCTCTCCTTCCTGTCCGCTGAGCAACAAGGATGGCTGCTTCCGCTCCCTCTTCCCTGGGGTGGACGGTGGGGCAGGGGAGGGAGTACCGGGCCTGTGCGACGGTCATTCATGGACCACCCTCAGGAACGCCAGCCTCCCACCCCACGTAGCACATCCAAGAGGTGCCTAACAAGGACCTAGACGGGCCACGTCCTCGTGCCTTCTCTCCCTTCCTCCCACTGGCTGCGTGGCACAGCTGCTCCTGAGTGCTGAAGAGCATCCAGAGTTGGCAAGAGGAGGAGGGAGGCTACCAAGGAGAGCAACAGGAAGCCTCAGTGCAGAGCCTGGCCCTGCGTCTGTCACATGGAAACAAGGCCCATCTTGCTGACGTCCTTCTGACTCAACCTTGTTCACCTCCTCCTTCAAGCAAGCAAAGCCCCACCGGTGCTGGGGGACCTTCTCAGGCTCAAACCGGCAGCCTCTCCACGGGAGCCACGACACTGATTTCTCCCCTGTGGACAGGGCCGGAACGTTGGTGAGCCAGCCTCACAGTCGCTGTCTGTGCAGCCCCTGCCGCACACCTGAGTGCAGGTGGGGCCGGGCTCATCCCACATGCTGGCTGAGAAACCCGATCAAGAGGCAACCCCATGGACACAGGTGGTGAGGGGAAGGTGGAGTGGGCACCAGGCTGCCCGCTGCTCTGCACACCTGCTCTGGCTCCCCTGCCCTCCACCACGCTACAGAGCCCTCTCCAATGTTACTAATCCTCTTCAAAAGGGGGAGGGGCTCTTAGGGCTCGGACCTCCCCAGTGAACACACCACACTTTTGAACTTAGGTGTCAGTCAACTGAGACCTCAAGACAGGGTCAGGAGAGGCCTTCTCAGGCCAGTGGAACCAAGATGAAGTGGGAACACAGACCAGGCAATTTGAACCGAGACCCCAAGAACTCAGAGGGAAGAGGAGGAGACAGCCAGAGGGCACGGGGGACTGTAGAGACTAGCTCGCCACACCCCTCACGGTCTACAGATAAACCAAGGCTCAAAGAAGTCAGAACACAGCTCCAAGGTCACACAAATTGGTCTCAGGGACCCTGATCTCAAACACTGTTCCTGCCCTGGCTGTAC